ATCCAATGTACCTACCATTTGAATAATATACCTACTACGAATAAAGTACCTATTATTTATCTAAATAATGTACCTATTTTTCCTCTCCAAATAATATACCTATACACATTGACAGGTATATTGTAAAATAATTTACCTGTGGGTAAATAATGTACCTATTTTATATAAATTATTGTGTACCTATTTTTAATTATGACAAATATTCGCAATTACAAAGTAACTGACTTTTTTTTTTGGGTAAATAATATACCTATATTTTATATGTATATATTTATATTATATTTTTCATAGGTACATTATTGGATATGTAATTTACAGATTTTTTTTTTTGTTTGCAATTTTAGTGGGCGAGATGTGAGGGGGAATGACAACTAAAAGAAATGGGGTGATTGATATGCTATTAATAGGGAGTATATTAATTACAATTATGGCAGTTAATGAAATGCTTGAAATAAATTATAAATAAAATATGAAGTTTAGTGGCAACGATGTAAAAACATAGAAATACTACGACCTCTTATATCCTACTGGTCATTTAAATTTGAATTTGGGTTTTCAACGTAGTTATATAGATAGATGGGTTTGTGTCTAAGGGATATCAGTTGTATGGGCTTATATTGGAGTCTCTCTAAAAAGAAATGAGAACCAAGAGAGACACCCTCCAATCTCTATGAAGTAGTCAATAATTCATGAGCTCTCTCTTAACTCTCAATTTTTTTTTTGATTTACTGCATGTAGTAAGCAATGAAGGACACAATGGAGGCACCAACCACGGACCCCAAGACAGGGAGGCTGGCACAGGCATCATTTGGGGCTCCTCCTGGTCCTGGGGCGGGGGCGGGGCTGGGGGTGTAGGCGTGGGCGTGGTCGTGACCCTCATGAGCCATCACAGCGCTGACAGAGGCGGCGGCGAAGAGGACAGCGCAGACAATCTTCTTCATTTCCATGGTGGCCTTGTGGTGGAATTTGTTGGGCTGAGATCGGTGAAACTTGACGTTGAAGATGAGCAGTGAAGAGTATTCGCTGAAAACGCCTTGGAGTTGAGAGTGCATGCGTTGGGAGTTTGGTTTAGGAGGGATTTAAGGGAGATTTTTCATGTCTTTCTTTTTGGAATATCGAAATTGATAGGTAATATATTTTTTAATACCATTTTTGGCATTTTCTGTTTTGGGATAAATCATAATATTGTTGGCAAGGCTAACTTTTTCGTATATTAGTAATTAAATAATAAAATAATTATAAATATTAGATCGGTACGGGTTTTTGTCGAGTTAGAATTTAGAGATATTGTTACTTTGCTTTTTAACCAAACGTTTTGGTACAAATCGGATTAGTATAATTAAAAATAAAACATAATTATTTAACCAAACTAAACCAAACCAAACAATCGATACAATACTGTCCGTGGATGAGATGTCCCACCCTAAACGTGATATAAGGGATCATAAAACATGTTAGTGTATATAGGATATTGTGGTAAAGTGTTTGGTTATCTATAAAAAAACGGAAGAAAAGAACAATTAATGCATTGGATATTAATTGCTGACAAGATTCCGAGTTTGTGCTAAGGAAATCCATTTCTCATGGTTTATTTGACGTATGATTAAGTGTAATGTCTGTTAAAACAAATTTGCCAAATAAAATTTGGGACATTGAGATTTATAATAAAAGAAGAAATAAAAAAAGTTTTAAATTTTAAAAAGTAATATAATTTTTTATTTGTTAAATTATACATTTAAAAAAATATCTATTTAGAACATATTTTAGCAAAAATACACTTGAAAAACAACTTACATATTATATTTTCAAATTGTATTACCATACATGTTTTCATTGTTTTTATTTTCTAAAGATGTTTTCTAATTAATTTATCAGACACATTTTCAATTCCTGAAAATGAAAATTTGTTTTCTTGTTTTCATTATTTGAAAATATTCTAAGAAAACATTCTCCAAAAACATTACCGTACAGGCCCTAAATCTCTAACATCCTAACAATATTATTCAAGATTACATCAAGGTAACAAAGTAACAACCTAATTATATTAAAGGTTGATATCAACGTGTACGATGAAACATAATAATACATGATGATAACCAATAAGGAAATGCAAGTATCATACAATATACATTAAAATATAGGCGGTTTGTTTCGATGATTTATGTGATTTTCATATAGGCAAAACTAAACCAGACCAAACAAATTATGGTCTGTAGGTTAAGGTTGTACTTTTTAGTATTAAAACTGAACAAAATCGATGAGACTGATTTGGTTTGACCACTTTAAACCGTAGCACATGTGCTAAAGGCCCATCAGATTAAGCAAAGGATGTCTGAAAAACAAATGACATCAACAGATTTGAGAATAATTTCCCTAAATACATGTTGGTTACTCTCTAGTATTAATTGTTACTACAAAAAAAAAAAAAAATCTAAAACATTCCAAAAGATGTGAAAGAAATGAGAAGTCCTCTAACAAAAATGAAGTAGAACAAAACAAGAGAAACCCTATTCCAATTCAATCTTATTCTCTTCCTTAGTTCCTAATATATATGAAAGAAATCTTCATTCAAGGCAGGCAGCAAGTAGTAGGTAAGGTATGATACAAGGCAGGTAGCAACTAAGGAACCCCAGGTGGGCAGGCCAGCAGAGATATCGCTGCTTGATTTTTGTGCTTTTGCAGGTTTTGGTGCTCTGGTGGCTTTGTCCTTGCCTTTCTTACGAGCCATCACAACGCTGACAAATGCAGCAGCAAAGAGGACAAAGCAAGCAACCTTCTTCATCTTCATTTCCATGGCTAAGTTGGTGTTTTGTTAATTAGGTAAATACTAGCCGAGCTCCGAGAGAAATATTGAGAATGTGATTAACATTATTGTCATTGATCACTGAGTCCAGCCCGAGGAAAGTGGTGAGATTGTGAGTGATTTATGTATGGGAGGAGAGGTTCATGATGTTTTGGGTTTGAGTGCAGTTAATCTTTTCCACATTTAGTCTTTTCTTTTTCAACTCCTTTTAAATCTATTGATAGGGCATAGCTATATTTAGGTGAATGCTACACTGTGTTTACTTTGCATGTTCAGAATTTCATGTGGACAGAAGTGATTGTAGCATGTTTGGGTTGTGTGGGTCTTGTCGTTAACAGTTGGGTAACTTATCAAAAAAGGAAAGGAAAACGAAGCAGGTAATTTTCGACCCAAAAAAAAAAAAAAACGAAGCAGGCAAGGATTGGAGGAAAAAAAAAAAACTATTTTGAGACATTGTGTATTGCTGCAAAGTGGCATTTGAAAGTGCAAAATTTGAGTAGGAACATGTTGGGTTGGAGATAGTCTTATACATGGATTTTCATTTCATATAGGTTTTTTTAAAAAAAAATCACAAAACATTCCATGAAATTATCAAATTGCGTCCTTCTTGTTTTTTTTGTTATTAATTTTTTTTTTGGTGTCATTCATGATTCTCAAGGTTAATATGTGTGCTCACAAATAGTCATTCCAACAAATACTTCGTTAGTATGCTGATGCTCCACATATCCAATAATATAGTACCACATGTATTTAAAATACAATATATGTATATATTTTAAAATAAAACTTTTCTTTTGATTTTTTAATTTTTAATTTTTATGAATTATAAATTATAAATTATTTTAAATATATATATTGTATTTTAAATACACATGGCACTACATCATTGGATATGTAGACTCCACATATATGCCACATAAGCAAACTAATGGAAATTATAAATTATTTTAAAAATATATATTTTATTTTAAATGCATATGGTACTATATTATTGGATATGTGGACTCTACATATATGCCACATCAACTAACTAATGGAGTTTTTGACGGAACCTAATAGCAGGGATTATTCGTGAGAACACATATTAACTTTGAGGAACACGAATGACACAAAAAAGAAAATAAAAAAAGAAAGACACAATCTGATAGTTTTATGAACCTCAGGGACGTTTTGTGATATAAAGTCTTTTATTTAAATACTGAATGTTAAACTTGATGCAGACTTTGAAATATCTAGATCTTCTAGTTCTAGGTGTATGTAGGTACTGAATTATTAATTTCCTGTATACAACTTTGTCCAAACGTATGCACATGCAGTTCTGAAAGCTCTGGCAAAGGTAAAAACAAAGAAAATGGTTTCATTTTGGAAAATCTCTTCAAAACCAACCATATATAATGGGATCCACAAGACTGGTTTCATAATTTTTGAGAAAAAAACAAGGTTCTATCTTCATAAGCTAATAAGTTGTACTTGGGGTGGGCGCATTCTGGTTTTCCTTGAATTGAAATCGAAACCGAAAATTACACATGGTCTGTATCAGTTCAGTTTCATAGAAAATGTTTAGTAAAATTGAACCAAATCGAATAGGTCCGATTTGATTATGCTAGTTTCCGGTTTGGAAAGATAAAAATATGAAGATATGAAGAAGATAGAAATAGGAAGAATAGAAAAATAGGAAGAAGAGAAAAATAGGTAGAAGAGATAAATTAAGAGAGAAAGAGAAAAGAGAGAGACGGAAGCGCAACAAAAACAAGTATTGTTCACTGAAAAGAAAAAGAAGTTGGGATAGAGTTGTTATTTAGTTGGGTATAAATTGAAACTAAGACATTTAGGTATTAATCGAACTAAAATATTTAAATATTTTTTGGAGTTACTAATGTGATTTGAATATTAATTAATTAGGCTTACTAATAATTTTGGATATAAATGAACAAGTAAACTTAACATAATCGGTTTGGTTCGGTTATCGATTTTTTCAAGACCAGAATCGGGATGAGAACCGATCCAAAGCGATCTGGTTCGATTTTTGATCCTAAGTTGACTTTTTGATCAACACAATTTTTTTCCAACTTGATTCGGTTTAGTTCACCAGTTAAAATGCCCACCCTTAAGTTATACTACAAATTTTTTGGTAACCTGCCATGGATTGTAAATATTAAAATTTGGCTTTATTTTTAGGCTATTTAAATGGATTGGGTCCAATATGAAGCGGTGCATTTTGTTTGCAGTTTGTCATGTGAGAGGTACTTGTTTAGGTTTTCTTGGCCACATTTGGTTAGAGAGAAATCTCTCTTTTTTGTTCGGGTAGAGGTCACCATTTGAGAGAATCGCACCATATCCTATTTGGTTGTGAAAATAGGACCAAAAATGACTTTTTACGTGTATTAAACTCATGATAAGACTCGAACCCATGACATAACCTTTCATGAGAGAACAATTATTCCAAATCATTATACTAGCGGCCCCTTTGCCAATTTTACATATTATAATAGCACCAATGGGGAAGTATTGAACTCTCCACAGCCCCACTCCCCATAACCAACCGACACTTCTATATGATTGAGAACTGAAAGGTGCTTCTAATTTGTATGGCCAGAGTGGCTCTTTGAAGACTTGGCTACAGAAAAATTTTCCTATCGTTTGATTTAAAAAAAAAAAAAAGATATGTGAAACGTTCTTCTAATTTTAATTAAATAAGTTGGCCCAGCACTCAGATTATTTATACACACAATTCTTGGCTGAACGTAGAAAGAAAGCAATTTCTTGAGCAATAATCAAAGTTCAACTTCTATTTGTGTGTTCACCCTTGTCTCTCTTTTTCATCCATGGCTAGACTCTCCAAAGTCAAAGTTCTAGAGCAATGCCAAGTCTCTCCCCCACCAAACTCCTGCTTACCTGATATTTCACAAACCTCTCTTCCTCTGACCTTCCTGGACATACCATGGCTCTTCTTCTCTCCAAGCCTACCTCTTTTCTTCTATGAATTCCCATTTCCCACTTGTCATTTCACTTCCACCGTCCTCCCAAACCTCAAGCACTCTCTCTCCCTCACTCTCCAACACTTTTACCCTTTCGCCGGAACCCTAGTGGCCCGGCCTGAACCCGGCATTCCCGAGCTCGTGTACACCCAAGGTGACTCGGTTT